CGCGTGGGCTCCTCCAAGGCGGGCGCTGGAGCCCGAGGCGCCCGGCTAACTTGAGGAGAGGACCTGGGCGGCTGCAGGAGCCACTGTCACAGGGCTGCACCTCCAGACCCCTACCGGGCGGCCCTCTGCCCCTCCTCGGCTCCCTGAGTCCTCCCCTCCCTCGAGGATGTCCCCACCACCTCTCAAAGAAAGTTCCTTCAAATGTTCCTGCGGTCAAGCCTTTCACTTTGTCTCTGTGGAGTGGCAAAGCAGTAGTATTGTGAAGGGCCTAGATGTCGCTTGTCTCAGCCCAGAAAAAAAGGAAGAAGAAGAAAAAAAAAAAGCTTCTTCTAATGCCCAAGGAGGTGTCTCAAGTCTTTTATTAGCTCCCACAGCCCAGCTGGAAATTTAATAGTTTGGGGTCCTTTTCAGAGCTTCCCCAAATGTTCTGTCCCAAAGTCTAAGCCATTTACAGTTAACGCTGTGAACAGAACGCTGGGATTTAAACCAGGCTCTCGCATAAGGGACCAGGAGATAAAGCAGAAAGATTTTCCCCCGACCAAAAAGGGTCAGTGTTGCATGATTTTTAAAAAGAAGACATAGAAATAAAAGTTTCTGCAAAGTAAACAGAGGTCCCAAAGTTCATCAGCACACAGTAGGCACAAGTGACTTTCAAAAGGGTTTTTTTGTTTTGTTTTGTTTTGTTTTGTTTTGTTTTTTGTTGGTTTTGTTTTGTTACTAGTACAGGGTCTATTCGGATGGCTGGGCAGAACCCGCTGTAAACAGCGGCCAAAAGCCTCCGGCCGAAGAGCACCCGCTTTTACTCCTTGCTAAATCCTGCAGGATTCTCTTTTGAACACAAAGTGCTAAAACGACCAGAAGTTTCTTAGCGTCTGTAACAATTCAATGTGCGCCCCTCTCCTTGACTTCAGTAGTCAAACCCCCTACATGCAAAACATGTTCCCCCTTGCCTGACCTGCAACTGTCCTCCCTTGGCTGCATTGTGCAGTGGCAGAGGCAGCATACGGTTGCTGAGTAAACTTAGCAAGTCAGAACAATCAGTGGCTTAAAAGATTTTCCCTTAAACTAAAAGTTTCGTTCCAACACAAAGGCGCCTACGTTTTGAAACCCCCAGCGCTCCGGAGCCAAGTCGAGCAAGGAAGGACTCGGATCCCCTGAATCGGAGGCTGAAAGGGGATGTGGAACCTTCAGACAACTTCTCCCGGGCTGGGACCCCTTGGCGACCACCGAGGAGGAGGCAGTGAAGCCGACCGCTGAGCACCGCGCAGAGTGGGAATGGAAATGGGGAGCGCAGGACCGAAGGCCGCCTCCCCCAATTTTCCATACAATGTGAATGTGAATGAATAGTCACCAGCTATGGACCTCCAATCCAGAGAGGTCTGACTTTTCCTGTTACCAGGGGCGCGGGGAAATAGGGAAAGCATCGCATCTCAACTCTAACTGCTGCTCATTTGTACCTACCCATAAATGGCATCTTTATCTCTCTTTAAAGCGTCATTGACGGAGGATCCCATGCTGGGGGCCATGGCGTTGGTATGAGCCGTGTGCGGGTACTGATGCGAGTGCAGAGGAGGCCCGTGGTTCAGGTGGTGGACCGGCTGCATGGACCTGGCGGCATGCGGGTCCCCGTACATCGTGGAGGGGATGCCTACTCCATCCATGCCCCCGTAATGGGGTAGGTCGTCGTACTGCATGACAAACGGGAGAGAAAGAAGGCTCAGAAGGCAAACGGGAGAGGCAGGGCTCCAAGCTTATGTAAGGTCAGTCCAGCTGGGTCCTTCAACCCGGATTTCGGTGGCCTTGCATCTTTAAAGTTGAGACTTCTATTTTTAAAATAAAATTAAAGTGAAATTTCTAGGGTTCTCATAAGACTCCACCGAGATAAAGCTTCTTGCCCTAACTTGTACCCCTATCAGCTAGTTCAGAAATTCAGAATCCTTTGGCAAGGAAGGAAGGAAGAAAGAAGGGAAGAAAGAGGCATTCTCCCAGAGGGCGGAAGGTAAAAACGTGCACGTCTCTAGAGGAGGAAATCGCAATAACAAAACATGCCAGGACAGTGCAGCAAACCCGCCTAGTTTCACAGCCCCTTCACATCAGCGGGAATTAAAAAAAAAAAAAAAAAAAAAAAAAGTTACTATGGAACAGCTCCACCAAGCACGTGAATTCAGGCAGGCTTCTCATTTTATTTCCCTGCCAGCGTGGGGCTGGGCAGTCCGGCAAGACACTACATCTTCTTTGCTTTCCAAGACAAATTCTGCTAAATCATACAAAACAAACTGATTCCCTTATAAATGAAATTCAAATAAAGATAGCTTTCCCTTACCTTACAGCCAAATGCAGAATTGGGTACCCCCCCCAAGTTAAAGAAAATCTATAATTGAAGCAGTTAGTATTTTTTTTAATAAAAAACTTATAAACTTTCACCCAGACTACAAATCAATGAGGCAAATGTTACTCATTAGGTTCTAAAGCAAATTCAAAACCAAATGCACATACAATGCCCCATCTTTCTCATCCAGAAAAACTACTTTCATATTGCCATCATTTTTTGTGCTAGTTTAGCTACTTAGGTTTTTTAAATTGCTTCATTCCAGGCAAGGTCTTTTCCCAAGATTTGAAGGTGCCTATAGTGAAATGATTTTCAAAGAAAAAAGGAATTGCCACTTTCATCTCCTAAAGCCAGAGGTGTGAAAAGAGTTTGGAAGAACGCTGACATTTGCCTGAACCAAAGGAGTAAAGAAAAATGTGTCAGCCTAGTAACTTTCTTTTGCAAACAGGGCTTTGAGGGCCAGGACACAAATTATGCAAGGAAGGCTTTTTTGTAGACCCCCTTTCTTTAAGAAACTACCCCAGTTGGGTTGTCATTGTCTCACTTTACTCTCACTACATTTCCATTCAAATAGAAATATTGGGGAAATTAGTATTGCATTTTAAAAGTGAGTAGCTATGTGCTTAGTATCCAATTAGTACAGGACTTATCTTAATAAAAACTTGAAAAGCATTGGCTTGCATAAAAATCCAGGCAAACTAAAATTACTTTTAAAAGCTGAAAGTTTTTTTAACCAAAAAACCCACACACAGTGCATTATGACAGCTATTTCCTTTAAAAAGCTAAATACTTCAAATGATATTAAAGATGACCATAATCAATAACATATCAGAAGTTTCTAGATGTTTAGTTTAAACATATCTTCAAACTTCTGATCCCTGGATGCTCAAATTAAAGTATTTTGTATCTAGCACTTTTTTAAACAAATGATTGCTCGAGTTTATATTTTTATTTATATAGCTGTTGATTAGGAATCTGTAGAAAACTTGATTATGTGAATCAACAACTATAAGTAATATATATACGTCTACAGATGCATTAAATAAACCCTCTCTTCTTTAGGCCACTGTTTTAGAAGCCTCATTCAAAATGAGAGAATGAAAAAGGAAACTTTTTAACAGTGTCTTTCAGCCACGTTTCAATTTAATCTCATATTTGAGTTCCACAATTGTTTTTAATACGTACCCTTTGCGCCATCGGCCTCTCTGGCTCCCTTCCTACTTCAACTTCTAATATATCCTCTTTAAGGCCAGTGTGAAAAGAAACAAGTATGCAAACTTCCCCGGGGAAAAAAAAAAAAAAAAAAAAAAAAAAAAAAAAAAACAAAAAAAAAAAAAAAGCACGACGAAAAATCCCTTAACGTCTCCAGCAATGTGAGCTACTTGTCCCAGATCTTCGGTCTACCGGACCTGAAGCCAAGCGCCGGAGTCACTGAGCATAAAAGCGCTCCGTTTCCAAGACAGCAGCGGGGGCAAAAAGAAAAAAAAGAGGGGGGGAGCAGATTTTCTCTCCCCAAAAAATCAGTTTAAAAAAAAAAAAGAGCGCCCCTCAGACCCAACTACCAAATCTCATGGCTTTCTGCCACTCCAGCTGTCAATCACAGGCGAGGTTGTCAACGTGGTGAATGAATGATCATCCGCTCTGTCTTCTTCTGGTCAGAACACCTCAAATGCTAATATTCAAATGCACAAAGCCCTAGCTCTCGCTTCCCTTGAATCAGTCCTAATTCCTAATCAGTTTCTCTCTTCTCTCGCTCTTTCTCTTTCTCTCCCTCTCTCTCCGTCTTTGCAACTGCTGCACTGGAGGGAGATTAGAGAAGGAGGGTTAAAAAAAATGTCTGTCTGAGTTTGTCTTAAAGGAGCCACGATCGATGCTGTCCGCTTGCAGTCCCCGTGCGTGTGTAAAGTGTGTGTTGCACAGGCGGAGAGGTGGATTCCGACCAGAATGCTAGAACCCGGAAGTAGTGGTGGCCATAACAGGTCGCGTCTTACACAATGCATTGGGCTGCAGCAAGTAGGCTTCTCCGCAGGGGTGGGTGCGCGAAGCGAGCTCTGTACGCACTGGAGAGGCAGAAAGGCGCTCCATTAAACCGCACGCACAGGCACAAACACCACACACCCGAGCACACGCACACAAACGCAGGCAGTAGCACCCGGCCGCCGGCTTTATTTTCCACATTCTTTTCTCTCCCTCCCCCTCCAGACTCTCTCCCCAAAGCGGACTCTCTTGAAATAAATTGGGAATAAACGCGGGCCAGGCAGCAGCGGGAGTTATTTTGCACAGGACTCCGCGCATAGACTTCAAGACTTTCCTCGAAATTATTGGGGTCTGCCAGTATTTTTTTTCCTTGGGAGGTGGGTGATGCGCAAAGTACTGGATTTTCAGAACTGGACGCCCCCACGAGAAAAGTCAAACAGGGAGCGAGGAGAAGAGGAGCCGGAGCTAGGCTGGGAAAGGCTCTGCTAAGAGTCCCGAGAACTAGGGGCGGAGGTAGCTCGAGCTTTCTGCAGACCCAGCTTAGAGTTTTTCGCTGTCAGAGGTGGACGCCCGGACAGAGGACAGGAAATGCTTGCATTTTGTCACTTTGGGTCTGGACGCCCCCACCTCCTCGCCCCGACAGCTCCATCCTCAACCCCGGCGCCCGGCACGGAGTGAGAGAGGAAGGGAGGGAACAATGCGCTGAGCTCTGGGAATGTGCCCCCAGCGCCTGTTTACAAACACCAAGCTATTTATGATCGCCGGAAAGCGAAACCCGAGGCGAGCTCCGAGCAGCCCAGACCTCGCAGGCTGGCCGAGCCAGGTCGGAGAGCAGAGCCGCGGGGAGACAGCCTCCGTCCTTAACCCGCTCCGGGCGAGGCAGCCGTGCGCCCAGGGCGCGGCGCGACGGAGCCTAGCGTTGGGCTCAGGCTTCGGCCGCGACGCCTTTGTCTTTGAGGCGCCTGGGGGCTTCAGCCTTGGCCTCGCCAGGGCCTGGAGGGGCCCCGCGCCCCCAGCTCTTTCCCGGGCGACGCCGGGAGCTCTCCTCTCTAGACCTCTGTCCCCACACACCCTTTTCGGTTCCCAACGCTGCGGGGCGAAAACTCCCAATGCCAGAGAAAAAGAAATCCACTTCGGGAGCTGAGATTTCAAACAAAAGCTGCCCATACCCACAACTCGGAGTCTCCAGCCAGTCACCGATTTCAACTTTCTCTCTGTAAATACCTATTCTCTGGGCTTAACCGTTTTCCTTCATTTTATTCTCCCACTCTTAAGCGTGCCTTTATTATGATATTTAGTGGGGTTATTTTCGTCTTTATTTTCCTGCCCGCCTGGCTATGATCTGCCGAGGCGCCTCAGCCTCAGCAGCTGGAAAGCTCACATCCCAGGCAGGGCTCGCAGCTCGCTCGGCTCGGAGAGAATTTTCTCCCCCTCCCTCCAGCTGAAACCTCGCAGAAAACTCCCCCTGCGGTGGACTGGAAAATGAGCTCACCCAAATCTCGGTAGGCCGCCGTGAAAGAGGGCTCGGCCAATCAGAAGGCGCCCCCGCCCAGGAGGCCGCGCATTGGCTGCGGGGAAAATCAATTATCAAATAATCGATCAGCAGGGAGCTTCGATCTGCCGGGAATGCAAACTTCCAGTCCTGATTCCCGCCCTGATGGTGGCCAAAAGGCAGAATCCCTCAAAGAGGACGGTCCGCGCTTCCATCGTCCCCACCCCCATCCCACCCTGCCAGCTGTGGACCAAACCCTCGCCCCAGAGCGGGGGATAGTTGGTGGGAAGAGTTTTGAGAAAGATGGGGGGGGCCTCTTCACTGGGAGATTGTTTGGAAAAGATTAAGCGTTCTTAAATGTATCGAAGCCAACTCTTAGGCGCAAAGCAAGAATTTGCATCCATCCGCGAAGTGGGACTCAAGTTTCTGTTGAGTGGGCTTCTGAGGAACAGGGGACCTGGGCCATCTTCAAAATGTAGAGCTGCAGTCTTGCTCCGCCGAGCGCTGGTAGACTCCCTAGGCGACACCTATGGCTTCTTCTGGGCTCCGCAGGAGCCAGAGCCGGGGTTGGTTCTCCCAAACCGTGGAGCCTCCGCAGAAAGCCTAACAGATGAGTTTTGCCAGCCTGCTGCACACGTCCCTGCCCCCAACACTGAACTTGTTCCTTGTGTGTCTGAAGGGTCGGAACACATTCACCCAAAACTTCCAGATGCTCTTTGAGTTGAAAGAGCTCAACTGTTACAAAAGAAAAATCCCCATGATCCCTTGGTAGTTACTGTCTCTTCTTTCTTAATTTGTAGTTTGTAAGATATTTTACTTTTATTCATAACATACTTGTGTACCGTTTTCTGACACAGTTACCCTGATACATCGCTTAGGAAGTTAAGGCAGGCCTGAGAGTCAAAGCCAAGGGGGGCTTTGGGGAAGCCAGGTGAATTACCAAAGCTTAAATCCGACACCCACACCCCTCACCCCAGCCTCCCCTCACGGTGTGAACTTGAAAGCAGCTTTTCAAGCCAAGATGGAACCTTTTGAACTCAGGAAAGCGATTTTTGTTTAACTTTTGCGAAGCAGAACTGGATAGGCCAGGCAGCGCACTTCTTTTCCGATTATGGGGAGGGCTGCTCTAGGCCGGCAGCAGCGAGCTCTCCCCCAGCTCCCGAGGGCTGTGGCAGACACCTGAGCGGATGGCTACTCCCTGGGGGTGGGAGCGCTGTCTCCCTAGCGGGCCAGCTAGGCATCAGCCAGACTGGGGGGGGGCAGGAGGGGTCCAACACCCGCACATCTACGTTTACGGTCCTTCAATGAACTACGAGGGAGATTGTGTGAGTATAATTTAACTGAGAGAAATTTACTGCGAAATACATTTAGGTGACCGTGATCCAGGGATTCTTGGTCAGACTTAGGTAATGGGTTTGGAGGTACCTAAACGTGCGTCCACATTTTCAAATTTGGAATATATACATATACATATACATATGGAATATATATATGCATATATTACATTTTTTACAAAAAGATTTATTATATATTGTTACTTTCCAACAACTTTTTTTCTTTTGTTTTCCAGCAGAAGTTTAAAAAAAGAAGGTTCAGGTAAGTCACTCTTTTCAAACATAACCAGTATTCTTCAAAGCAGGGCAGAGATTTTGTGTGCTTTAACCACGATGTGGCAGTTTTACTTTAAAATGTATTTTAAATTATCTACACACTGATTTTCCTTAAAGAATGTGGCTACTTTGAGTTTGTGAGCTTAAAATCACAGTAGTTTTGAAAAGTGTCTTTCCATTTATAACTGAACTTAATACTCCTTCCAGGCCTTTATACGATTAATTCTGAACAATCAAGGGACTAAAACACTTTTACAATGTAATTACAGTAGTACAAATTGTTTGCCCAAACCTCATTCTGGATAAGGATTTTACAATTAGCAAACAGTTATTACAGTTGGTGCTTGCTGAGAGAAATTGCAGAGAGGACCTCTAGAGTTGCAATATAGTAGCCATAAAAAAATAAAAAAAACCTCCTTTAGCAGGGTAGTAATTAATCAACTATTAAAAGGGAAAAAAATGAAGGGACACTTTTAGGTATCTGGTAAAGTACTGCAGATATTATTGTCTGTTCTGTGACAGCACCTATCCTAAGCTTATTTCAGATAATTGCTTTTTAAAAAAATAGCACTTTTATTTGCAAAAACTTGGCCTGGAAAGGGGTTCTGGCACTTGGCTCCAGCTCCTGTGATGCAGTCCTTCCATGCTCTGTTTTCCCTTCATATCCCAGAGCATCTTCCCAAAGATGGAGAACGGACACTAAGAAAGAGGCAGGCTGAGCCATTGGTCTCCATTGTTTATACTGTCCTATAGGGAGGCATTTAAAGCAAGCAGTGCGCCTTTGGGCTGTTAGAGTGGTCTGGGAGAGCTCCCTTGTAACTTTCTGTTCTCCTATGAGGAATTGTCTTTGGAAAGGCCCACATCCTGAAACAGGCTTTTGTCTCAAAAGTTCACACTGATGAGTCAGCTCAAAAACCCTCTGAAATTAAAAAGGCACCTCTTAAGGTAAAATGTGTGTGTATTTGCCAGTCCAGAATAAACAAAAGCCCATTAATCAATGGAGCATGGCAGCTGTGTTCACAGTATGATAAGGGTTTATCATCTGCCAACTAACTTTAAGATGTCTGTTAAAATGTTGTGATTGTTTTTTTACGTTGTCCTGTGGTGTGGGGGATTGGGGTTTGCCCTTCAAGAACATCTAACCTCCAAATCTCTCCCCTCATTACCATTTGCATTTCAAAAAGCAGGAATAAGAGGAGGGGAGTTTAAAGAAAATAGATTTGAAATCTAGTAGAGATACTAGAGGAATGTTGGAGATAAGAGCCTGGATATGATATGAGAAAGGTACCAAGAAGTCAAAGCTAATGAATGGCTGCGAGAAAAGTGAAATAAACTAGAGGTCTATTGAAGGGAGAAACCTGGTTAGGTGATATGAAAAGGGGCTAACCAAGAGGATTAGAGAGGACATTAACCAAGTGCCCCAAAGCAATCCAGGCTATAAGTATTGGGAGATTTGTTTACTGCATTTTGTTTCAGAAAACAAAGAATGTCTGGTCCAGTTCAAAAGTGGATGAGAGGTCAGCTTAGGCACTTTGACCATTGTAGGGGAAATACCTAGCTCCCTGTATTCTGACTGGATAACAGAAAAGTAAAGTTTAGGGGCAAAAAATCTTTAGGGGCTGGGCTTCCCTCACTACTTTTCTATTTCAAGTCATTAAAACACTTTGGTCTCTAGAGGAGGAAAAACTACACTGGTTAACATAATTACTAGCTCTGACATTTTCAGAAGTTATAGAGGCCTTTTATTAATTAAATGGAGGGCTTAATAAAATATTCCTAATAAAATTTATGGTTGTCTTAAAACTTTCTAAACAGTGCTATAAATTCTTAATAAAATTAACTGGGAAATGAGTTATTAGCCCACACTTTACCCCCTCCCCCAACTTCGATATAAGAAGTGTCTGCAGAATGGAAAG